TTCATAAAAACCTGAAAGTAAATGTCAAAAGATAATGTTTTTATCAGAAATATATTTTTTGTTGTGGTAACTGACTCAAAACAGTGGTCTATCAATATAAGTTGTTATTTTGTGTCAACAAAAGTTGCGCATTGTTACTTTTGACCTCATATGCAGGAAAATTTTTAAATTCACTTCTATCAAATGTTTCAAAACCAATCTGCCACTGCAAAATGTAAAAATTTTCTACAAAAAAAAAAAAAAAAAAAAAAAAAAAAAAAAAAAATATATATATATATATATATATATATATATATATATATATATATACATACACACACACACACACATATATATATATATATATATATATATATATATATATCTTATATTATATATATTTTTTTAAATAAGGTATGGCTATTAGCTGTGGGACATAAATAAGTGTTACTTTTGTCCCCACAAGAACTCTTGCCATTTAAACCTGATTTAGTTTTAAACTGAAAAACTCAGAGATTTCAAACTCAAGGATGTGTTATAGCACTAAATAACCTGACTGATAATTAGTGTAACACATGAAAAGAGAAACACAACTTGTAGCAAGCAAAAAAAGAACCGTAACAATAGTTTACAATTTGCACTTAAAAACAGAAATTTGGAACTAACCGCAGGACACTGTCAATCACGATATTTGGCAACTCCATCCAAGGTTGCATGCAGAATGTGCTGTTATAGCCTGGAAATCAAATGTTGTCAGGGCTTAGAGAAAAATTGCTATGTTACTTTCTTTCAACGTTACTTTTGTTCCCACTCTCCCCCACTTATAAGCTAGTAATTCAAAAAAATAAGAGAAATTAGTTCTGATCTGACTCTGATCAACGTTGTACATTCTGATACATTCACAACCAAAGCATTTTATTTCTTTTGAAAGAATTTAATATTTATTCCCCGTCCTCCCATAGTGAATACAAATGAGTTATATATAAATTATTTCCATTCCTTAGTATATTCTCTATGCTACAGTTACAGCATGAACCATCACAATTTGAAAACATACGAGGGGAAGGATGATCTGCCAAGACAAACATGCATTGATTACTGTGCACTACAACACAATAAATAGTAGCTTACATGTGACTGTAAATTCAGTCAAAAAAGACATAATTGAAAGTCAAATGTTTATAAATAGACAGATGGACACATTTCATTCAGTACAATAAGTGACTCCACCAGTCCCGGTTTACATTGACTGTGTCAGTATTTTCAGGGTAAGTTGACATTCAGTAGATTGGATGTCCACAGGACAAGAGTCAGTGCATCTCAGAACCTGATACTGTTGGTTTATATCATTCATCAACATTTATGCCATATTGAAGCTCTTCTTGAGGGTTGAAGGGAAACAAAGGAGCTCTTTCAGGATTTTAAAGTATACAATTAAACATTACTCCTTGCAATGAATCCGAGTTAGTAACAATTAAAAACCATAACAGGTGCAGTAGGATTGTGTACTTGAGGTTGCTGAGGTTTTGTTGAGTCATAAATTTAGAACATTTATATACAAAGAGTATAGAATGCAATAAATAAATAAATTATAACAAAAAAAATGTTTTTAATTAAACAAAAGGAACATTTTTTAGTTTTAGTTAAAAATTATAATAAATAAATAAAAAAGTCAAGGAAAATTTTTATTTATTTTCCGGTATTAATCAAGATTTTAATTAGAAGCATATTAACTGTTTGTAAGGCTGCTGTATTGTGAAAATTCTTTTCATTTTTGCTACTTTGTACATTAAATGAAGGCACGTCCCTGAAACATTTGTGTTCTTGCTTTAGTAAATCAAGATGGCTAAATAAATGACTTTGAATTGTCTGTTTTAAACAAGTTACTGGCTGATCTGCTGTTTATTAAAAATATGGTGGTATATCACGATATTGTGCTTTACAGGAAACATCAAAAAGACTCCTCTTAGCATCTGCACCAGAGTAGCAAAAATGGAAAGTCAACAATGGTAAGTCATTATCACAGTGACAGAACCAACTTAAAAAAAAGACTGCAAAGCTACATAATTAGAAAATACTTTAGAATGAGAATGAAAAAAAATCACAGTAATTAAAAAGCATTCTAAACAATAATGTCTTAAACGAAAAAAATCATTGTGTGTGTATTTTTATAGATTGCTGGTCTTGAATAGCATTTTATTGTACTTCTGTGTACGATACCCTGTACAAGCACCGTCTGATAATACTGTAGAAAAATTATTATCAGTGAAGAAATTACAAAAATTCGCCTTTGTATCAAAAGTGTAGAAGGCTGACCATTGAAAGATGTATCAATTGTACAAACACACAACCAAAAAAACTTATTCATTTTCTTCAAAATTTAAAAAAACAACCTCTTTGTGTTGAAATATCAAAACCCACTTTGCATGAGGAATGTTTTAATATTTCCAAAAACAAAAACAAAAAGTATTTTTTTGCTAAAAAACTAAAAACTGCTTTTGAGACAGAGCAAAATAATTTCCCTGAACTTTTTCAAAGGACATTTAAAGACAGATACATTCTTTTCTAGTTTACTCATACAGAGAAAACTCTCTCTAACCCTATGCTACACTCTACAGAGGTAATACAAGAGTTAACCAGCATTACAGTAAATATAGCTTAAATTCAAACATACCGCCATATTGTACCTCCATAAAACCTGCAACACACCTGGCAGGAAAGTCCAGTCCTAATATAATATGGGTAAAATACTATCCTCAATCTTTAAAAAAAAACATCAGAGGTGGAAGCTTTCATTCCTAGGAGTCTAAATATCTACGCTAACATGACAACTATCCTAGGATTCACATGAATAATGGAAGACTTACATTACATGCACATCAAGTAGCAAATTTCCCATTAAATTACAAATAACTGTTAAAAATTACACCTACAATTTACAACAACATTTCCTGTAGTCGGTACTTTTACATTTGCTTGATCTCCCGGTTTTGTCATGCATGAAGTGAAAGCACTTACTATTGTCAGATAAGTTAGTTAGGAAGAACAGACTTGATGCTGAAGAGTTTTATGTTAAAATAACTGAGCAACCATTACAATCTGGCACAATGAAATCTATGCCAAGGTAAGTCTGAAAATCATATCCGCAAGGAAACTTGCTTTTAAAAGCTGGTTTAATGTTAGATGGATTGGTCTTTTGGTGGGTCAACAAAATGAAATGACTCATGCATCAGTAGGCATTGCAGCCGGTTATGACAGTGACGAGGTGATGCAAAAAATCATTTTCTCAATTATCAGTTTTGTTTACATTTCAATTATCAAAACAGTTTTAAAATGATAATTATAAAACCCATTTTTATTTTGGATATATATCAAATGTCAAAAGTGACAGATTACTGAGCAGTAGTGATGGGAAGTTCGGATCATGTTTGTTGACTCAGGCCTTTGAGTCTCGCTCAGTGAGGTGACCAAATCTTTTTTAGTCATGTTGTTTATTTCGTTCAATTTGCTTGAAATATTATTCAAATATTACAAGTTGCTTTCAAACTCATCTACAACTACACTAAATGTAGATCACACTATAAACAAGTCATTACTAAAATGCTATAAGAAAGAGAAAATAATCATTCATTGTTTACCTGCTGTTTTGTCTGATTATGTCAGCTCACCTCTTCTGACAAGTTTTTAAGTTTCAGTGGTTTGTTCACGTCACACTGACAGTCCCATATAAGCTTAACCAATGTACACAGTCTGAGCCAATGAAGCCGTGATTAGTTCACCTTTCGAGTCTTCTGGTTTTTGAGTCATTCGTTCATCAAGTGACAGCATGTGAAGAGGGATGACTCAAACCCGAGTACTCAAGAAATGAAAAGATCAAATCTTATTCTGACTCTAAATGCATATGATTGGCTTCTGTCTTTCACCTGATGAAAGAAAGACTTAAACTGAGCATTTGAGAGATGAATGGATCAAATCTTTTTCTGGCTCTGACTGCACCCGATTGGCTTCTGGCTTTAATGTGATGAATAAACAACTCAAACCCCACAGAAGACTCAAAAAGGAACTAATCTGCTTCACCTGCACAAATGTGCCTGTGCACAAATGAATGAATCCCTCCCTGAAAGGACTTGTTGTTCTCGAGTCATACAACAGATTCGTTCAAAATGAACGAATCATTCAAGAACGACCCATCACTATTGAGCAGTAATAGCTTATTTATAGTGAGAAAAGGGCTCTAGATAGATAGATAGATAGATAGATAGATAGATAGATAGATAGATAGATAGATAGATAGATAGATAGATAGATAGATAGATAGATAGATAGATACTGTAGATAGATAGATAGATAGATAGATAGATAGATAGATAGATAGATAGATAGATAGATAGATAGATAGATAGATAGATAGATAGATAGATAGATAGATAGATAGATAGATAGATAGATAGATAGATAGATAGATAGATAGATAGATAGATAGATAGATAGATAGATAGATAATTTTCCTTCAGCTTAGCCACTTATTTATCAGGGGGTCGCCATAGCGGAATGAAAATAGATAGAATTTGAAACATAAATTGTTGGGATTAATAAATCTTTAAGTCAGTTTCTTTTAAAAGAATGTTTAGGTTTTTCAAGGATACTAAATAATTACCAAAATGACATTTTGCAGTTTTGACAAATTTAAAAATTGAAACATTGGGAGAATTGTAAAACCTGAAAACATATTTCATAAAAAAATAAACCAGACCACAAAAAATGCTGGTGCATTTATCTGTAGGAAGGAAAGGCAGAAACCTAAAGTGCTGTTTGTTGTATAAAGTTCCTGTATGCCATTCAGGAGGACCTACAGACCTTTAAAGAATGTTAAAGTCAAGTTTAAGCTGAGCTACTTCCGTTTACACAAAATTGTTTCTGCCTCCATGCTGGCCCAGTGTGGGCAGCACATCAATAATAGCATTAGCATCATTATCTTTTTTAATCTAATGCTACAAGTCTAAATCTATGAGATAAAAAGATATCTCAAAGTTGAATAACGGAAATGACAGGCTTTATGGCAGTAGGGGTTGTCAAAATCTTAATAAATATTAAAAAATGACAATCAGGGGCTGCAGATTAAAGTGAAGCACTGCTGTGGGCAGAAACTAGATGGAATACAGCTAGTATTGCATTATCCAGCTCATCTAGGTAAAGTATTGGCATTTGGGATGCGTGCGGGGGACGAGCGTGCTGGTGAGCCTCTGAAAGTGGGTGTCCCTGGTGCCGGAGATGCCACCTTGTGAGTAGGTGTACCAGGGCCAGGAGAGGACGAGTGTGTGGGGGTCCCAGGGCCTGGAGAGTAAGAGTATGGGGGAATATCAGGGCCGGTGAAGAAGGCTCTGTGGATGGGGGATGAGGCTGGTGATAGGTGGGGACTTGTCTGGAGGAGCCACAGCAGCTCATCATTGTTGCGACTCAGCCTCTTTTTCTCGTTGGTTTCCTTCTCTACATTCTCCTGGAGGTTTGCATTCTCTTCAGACAGTTGTCTGGAAATACAGGATGAAACAGTTTAGTCGAATGTCTGGTTAGGCATGATTCAGTTTAAATTCAAGTGTAAATTATATAACATTCATTTATTAATTTTTCTTCTACTTAGTACCTTATTTATCAGGGGTCACCACAGCGATGAAGCACCTATGTAACATTTTTAATGTCAAAAACATTGTACTGTTGTTTGACGACTGTAAGTGTGCCAATTATACAGTAGGTTTATCGCCTCTAAAGGTGTAAGCATTGAGCCTCCTGGGCAACATTGGCCTGCTCAAATCTGTCATCACTATCCATATCATATACAACAGTTTTATACAAGTGCATCTGACAATCTGTGAAGGACTTATTGAGCTTATTGATGGTAATAGAGTGCTTAATCAAGTTTGTCCTATATATGATGTTTCAATAAACAAAGTAAGGCTCTGAATTAACATGTAAGAAAACTTAACATGTAGTTTGAATCAGTTTGCATATGATGTTGAATGTTTTTTTTTTCTTTTGGTGTTTTCCTAAGCGCATAATTTAAATTTCACAGGTATATCCACTATCTGTAAATGTTAAAAAAGCCATGAAAAGTTTACAACTTACTGTTAAATGGATGAGCCTTCTGTATGTGGGTTTTCACTAAACTTAAGTGAATGAGCACACCCACATGCTTATATGAGTGCAACAATTATGATTAAAATAGTGTCTTCGCTCCCACTTTATATTAAGTGGCCCTACCTAATATGTACTTACACTGAAATTAATAATTTGTTTAGGCATGGGACAATAACCGTTTTCAAGGTTTACCGCAGTTTGGAAAAGTCAAGGTTTTAAAACTGCCCAAATTTTCTGTAATACCGTTTCCAAGGTATGTGTAAATAAAATTAAAAAAAATTATTTACATTTTTAAAAAAACGTTTTTTAGGACAATAGTATCTCCAGCAGAAAAGATATCCAAAGATGCCATATTAAAATGTAAAGAAATCTGTGAGAAATGAGAACTGACAGAAAAGCATGGGTAGCAAAGAGAAGTGAACGATCGTCATAGGGCCGCGGGGTGGAATCGAACTGGGGATGCCTTGAGTTGCATGTCGACACACTAACCACTACACCACTGGTGCCAAGGTGTATTCTAATTACACACTTGAACCATCCCTTTCACCTTAACCCATCTCTAAACCTACCCATTCCAACAAACCTGTTCTGTATCCTACCTCAGTAGCACCAGAAGTGCTCTGCAATAGATTATGAACACAGTACGTTTATTATTTATTTTTTGATGTAAGTACATAGTAGTTAAGGCCACCTAATGGAGAGTAGGGCTGTTTCTTGTAAATGTTTTGGATATAATATTATATATATATATATATATATATATATATATATATATATATATATATAAAACACTAATAGTGCAGAAACTATATACTTTAAAGGTCCCCTGAAGTAGTCTGAAATTGCAGCTCTGCCAGATTTGTTGAGGTTGATAAAGCTGGATCTGACAGCTTATGGCAGCCACGGTCTAGTAGTATTGCTGAGCCTCATCGTTTCTCCCCCTAATCTCCTCCATATTGCTTTAAAATTGCTTTCTGCAGAGAATTCAAATGAGTCTTATAAGTTTAGTGGTCTGCGCCAACTTAAGTGCATGATCCTTTTTGTCCTACTGTATCTCTGGCCAAAACAAACTATTTACGGTGACACATACGCACAACCAGGCTTCAATCACCCTAATAGAAAGCATATTTACTTGTCTGAACCATTTATCCCTTGCAGTGTACTACATTCCATTCACCACATAGAAAATAGTAATTGTGAACAAGTAATCTGTCTTAGGCCACTAATAAGTTTTAGTTTTAAAACGACGTTTTAGAATGAAGATGATCATTCTAAATGATCATTCTGATGATCATTCTATGAGTCCACACTGGCATTTCATCTAGTGTTTATGAACAGCTCTCCGTCCACTCTACATCGCTGAAAATGCACATCACTTGACCATACACACACTCTGCGCTGAAAGCTACTTAAGGGTATTCTCGCGTCTGAGCACCAGGCAGTTCTCTGACCACACCTGCCCAGCTGAGAGCAGCGGAACGTCAGCCAGTCCATCCAAAATCTGCCGCTGGATCTCATCTCTCTGTAGTTGGTAAACGCGATGTGTAATTCATTTTGTGTAGTAGACCTTTATTTAACGAATCTGTCTTCTGAATCCATTAGTCTACTTGTAACTTGTTTGGGCTGAGCGCAAAGATAAGTTAATATACCTATTAATTTATGTAACCACGTACACTGATATTGTGTGCAAATAGCCTGACACTAAACACATATTGCCAAAACCACACAGTGAGATTAATGTTTCATATTTTCCACTATGTTTTGTTATAAATTTGCCTACAGTGAAGATGACGGTCATATAAATTTGAACATGATGCCTTTAACTTTTTCCTCTCTCTTATGTTTAAGTTGTTAATATAAAATTAAAAGAGACAGTGTCATGTCATAAGTCATGTTTTCATTTTATTGTTAAGATAACAATATAAGAACGTCGTAAAGTAGGCTACACTGCTGTTACATCTGAAGATTTACCCAACGCGCCCTTACATCCTCGGGAGTTTGTTATAAACTTTCGAGGTCTGATCTTACAAGAAAAGGATGCAAGTCTGAACTTTGTGTGCTTTATATTAAGAAGAAGCCCTGATCAGATGGAAACCACACCTCGTCTCCGTTTTCCCCCTCCACACTGACATGGAGTTAAAGTCTAAGTTTTAAATGCATATACCTTATACATTCAAATTTTGTTTTTTTTTTGTACATTTTAAACATAATAACTTATAGATAACCTTAAGACAATCATAATAATAATAATAATAAAGGTTTTGATTTTGTATATACTCTGTGTCTGTACTTTGCTTGAGGGACAAGTGAATGTATTATTGCAACAGTATATATTTAGCAAACATCCTAATGCCCCTCACATTAATATATTAGTATTCAATTCCTCACCTTGACGCAACTAGGTGTCGGTCTATGCGGGCCATCAGGTCTTCATTCTGCTGCTGAAGTACCTGGACCCGCTCCTCCAGGAACAGGTTCTTTTGAGCCTGCTCGAAGGATCAAGTGAACACAGAACTCAACATTAAATTCTTACACAAACCACCCCTGCCAGAACAACAAGGAACTCAAATGTACTTTACACAAGAACAAAACAATGAGCATTCATAAAAGCTAATGGAAATGAGAGTAAAACGCTTTAAAATGGACAGCAGCCCTATTTCCAAAACATAAATAATATAACGTCCAAAGCTAAAAGAAAAATAAGTTTAAGTGGAAATTGGTTAAATGTTTGAATGATAAATAATGCTTTGTAGGACAATAAAGTGGAGCTCGATAACTCTTATACTCAGTATAGAAATTATACAATACACAGTACTCCTATAGGAGCCCAAGAGGTTTGTCAGGCCATTCTTGACAACCTTTTTTAAACTTTAAACTCCAAACTGGACCACAATAGATTGGACAGTTTTTCTGCACACTGTGTTTATTTAAACATCTTTTCATTTGGAGCTTACCACTTTCTCCAGATGACAGATCTTTTTCTCCTGGTCATGAATCTGCTGGTTCTTCATCTCCAGAACTTCTTTCAGACTCTTCAGATCCTCCTCAATATGCTGATATGGGGCCAGCGCATCCTACAAACACATTTAAATGGCTTGCTTTCAGTTTGGCCACAGCTACTGTAAGTATCCAATCTAGAAATGTCTTTAAGCCAAATGTCATTATTTTTGGCAGTCTTGTGCAATCTTTAATTAAAATGCCCTGTAATCTTCAATCAAAAAACTTCCATTCTCATTTCAAGGACATCTCTGCCTTTCTTTAATGACATGTAAGTGCGAGGCAATGTGTCACTCAAATGAAATTCACCTATAGCAAAACAGCTATATAATTCAAAATCAGCTGATTTGTCCATCATTTTTATTTTGATTTGTCCTGATGAACATTTTTTCTCATTAAAGAATCTGTTTGATTTAGATGTGCATCACACATTAGGGACAAAAATTACAGAAATATATAGATAGAATATAGTTTTTCATGACGACTTCAAAGAAACATACCACAATTTGTTCATCAGTGCTCTTCCTCAGTGCCTCCTCAAAACGCTTAGCTTTGTCTTTCAGAGTCCGGTTCTGGAATGTCAGAGTGTCCACCTGATCCTGAAGAAAACATTATTGTTACTAATGACCTCAAATGAAGAGCAAAAACCTTCATAACAAACCTTGAATCAAATCACCTGAAGTGAGAGGCGCAGTTTCTCGAAGTCCTCTTCTAGACTGGCTTTCTGCTGCTCATGGGCTTTCCTTAAATCTAAGATAAACGAAATGAGATTGAGCTCTTCTCCCCATTTCTGTCTGTTGGTGATGTTATGAATCAGACACTCACCTCTCATCGTCCTGGCATGTTCCTCCTGGAGTGTTGCCATAGTGATGTTGTGCATGGTTTTCAGGTCTTCAAGGGCAGCCTCATGGTTGGCAGTCAACTCTTCAATCTACACACAAAACCACATTAACCCTTTAGCTGGCCCACCAAGAAAAACATTTTTGGATTGCATTTCCTAACTCCTAATGTCGCTAGTTAACACACTCAATGCATTTTTTTCCCAACACATCCCATCGTTTTAAAAATATTAACTTCTAACAAATGGTTGGCATGTCGGTTTACGGTAAAAGTAACGGTGTAAAAGTAAGTGTAAGAGCAATTTATTTAAATACATTATCAAATTAAAATATTTTGAATACTAAATCATATTTATTTTTTTTAAAGTATGCTATAAAATATTTCAAATTCTCATTTAACATGTTTTCTTTTTTTTTTTTTAATAATAAAACCAAAATCAAGTGTAGCAGTGCAACAGGATTATGTTTGTTTGAATTTTTTGTAAACCAGTAATGCTGTGTGTGTAAACCATTATTTAAAACAATCATTCTATTAATAACTTTAACAGTCATTATTTAAAACAGTTAAAATATGGTAAAATATGGTGTTGATAAGCATGCGTGAGAAAATGGATGTGTGGCGTGAGAATACTGTCAATTGTGTACTGAACTGGCTGAAAGAGTTGGCAGCCCTGGCCTACACATTCATACTGTCATAATTATATTTGGGTGTGCAATATCATTATTTTTGAAAGTGTTTATTTTATGCTGAGTGTGTTTTTGTGCTGGTAGCTTGGCTGGTTCGAGTCTGTCATGGATAAATTAATATGACACTAAAACCCTCAGTAAGGGTCAGCAAGGGCTTATTTAAATAAGTGATTCATTGAATCATTCCCTCAATTGACTTGTTCAAAATGGAGATACATTTATAAATGAAGCAAGAGACATGCTGTATCACCACTGAAATCACCACTATACACATTAAATATTCCCAACATTAGTCCATTAATATAGTTCACTTGGACTATGAGTGATTGAAAACGAGTGAGTGAATTCGAACACTGTTGCTGTTATGCCATTATGTTTGTGCTTTGCTGGTTGATAAATTCCTCAGATGGATTAAATTGTAAACCTCTTGGACAGATGCTGTGATAGTTATTTAACTCTTGGCCAGCTGTCTAAAAGTAATGAAACAAAGTATTTTGATTTCTATCCTGTATATAAACACTACTTTAATTAAATAATATTTTTATTTGAAGTGTACATGATAGGATTCAACTGTGGCATTATGATTATTTTCTAGCTGTTGAGTGTACACAGGCTGTACACTTGATATTGTGGTGCATTGTGGGATTGAATGAGTGCACTTTAAAACATACTCTGTGGTTTTAGACACTTCTAGAAATTGCTGTTCCCCCAAATAGTAAACTATTTAAGGCAATAGGGGGTGATTTCTGACACAGCCACAGTTTTTATAAATGAATCTGTCTCAAATGATTAGTAAAAAAATATTAATTTAAAAGCAAAACAAAACAAAAGACCTGCTCTGGTTTTGGTTTGATTGGCAAAACAACAAAAGAACAACATTATGACTAAAATATAGATTACACAATATTAACTTGTTAAACATGCTAATAATCTGCAAAACAGCACTATAATATTGCTTGTGTGATTTTATTTAACTACATCATATCTTATAAACATAAAAACTCTGACAGGCATATTATTTGCTTTTATAACTTGAATTATAAAGACATTACAACAAATAACTCTATCACACAGTCAGTATTTTTCTCTCAAGATGCGTTTACCCATTACCCATACAATGTGTTTGTTTGCGAGGGATGTAGTGTAGATGATAATGGCAACTTGCACATCATTTAAACAATATGCCATTTCCAACACTCGTTTCCAATGTGATACTTCCAAATGCGCATTTAAACAGGGTGATGGAAACAAAGCTATTGACATGTAGCTGCAAATGTACTGATATTCATCAGAATTCAGTGTAAGCTGCGTTTTCTCTGCTCCTCAGGCAGATGTCAGACCTGCTCCTGGTGCTGTGTGTGGAGCTCCTCCACTTCTGACTGATGCTCTGCTCTCAGATGATCTCTGTCTGAAGCGTGTCGTAACCTCAGCTTCTCCTCTAAGGTGGCCAGTTCAGAATTCTGCTGCACCTGTAACTCTCTGAGCTCCTTCTCGAAGCACTCCTCCAGCTCTCGCTTCTCCTTCTGAAGATGCTCCCAGCGGGCTGCGTTAAAGGCTGAGGAACAGAGTTCGAATTAAAATAAGACAAAACTAGATTGTAGATAACCTGGTGATACAACCATAAACCTCACTGAACTCACCCACTTCATGCTGAATCCGACTAAGTTCCTCTGACAGCTCTCTTTCCTTCTGCTCAGCACTTTCACTCTGAAACATTCACACACACATGCTTTTGTTTAAATATTTTATGGTAAATGCAACACAGGCTTATTGTGAACACGTACCCCTGTATACAGTTCTGGAGAGCAAATTATAGCCAGAGCTATGAATGGCTGCATTTTGTCTTTAAAATGAACGCTATGGTGTGATATGACGCCGCCGACAGCTTCTGTTTCTATTCGCAGTACTGACTGACAGCTTACCTCCGTGTGGACAGCTTTTCAGATGTTAGGCTACCAGTTTGCCCAGTGGCTTGGTGTGTACATTTATTTACAGTAATTTTTTAAGTTTAAGAATTAAATACACAATTTATCTTCTAACCGTACCCCAAAACCAAACCAGATATATTATCCTAATCACTTTACTGTTTATAAATATGTATCATCATTAGATATATTTTCTGTCTTTTATATTAATATTCATGCTTTATTTAGTCACTATTAATTTCATTTCTCATGGTTGGTTTTTAAACTGTAGGGGAATTCAGGTTTTACCATTTTTAGGTAACTAAAAAAAACATAAAAAAATAATATTTCATCAGTTAAAATAAAATAAACACAGTTTAAATCATAAATAAATAAAGAACAACCATAAACAGTTTTCAGTGTATCCTCACAGATGTTCTTTTACATTAAAATGTTGCACACTGAATTACTTTAATAGCCTAAATAATGGCAAATTATAAAATAAAAACCTGTATGAAATGAAATCTAATATTGTGTCTGTAAATGTAAGACATCCGACAAGAAATAAATCCATACAAATACATATTTACGTATAAATAGATGCAGTTTATGTTTACTGTGTCAGCCTGATGATGAATAACGAATAATTAAATAACGATAAACAGGTACAAGTCTATATTAATTTTAATATTACATTTTACATGTAAATGCTGCATACTGAAATACTTGAATAGCCTACATAACATCAAAATATGCTAAAATAAATGAAAACCTAAGAGTGTCCTGTATGAAATGAAACTAATATTGTTTCTGTAAATGTAAGATATCCAACAAGAAATAAATCTATATATAAATATAAATAGATGCAGTGCTGCAGCTAATGTCTGCTACAGTATGCCAGGCTGGCGATGAAAAGCACTATGGTAACTAATAAAATGTGCTTTTCATCAAAAGACGTGGGAGGAGCAGGCAGGTTACTGACGCACAGCTTCAATCCGTAAAACCTTTCACAGCTAAACAACAGGAAAACAGGAGTGTATGTGGAGGAGAGCAGTGCAATTAATATTAATGCGATATATGTGGGCATTAGGCTGAAACGTATTGGTTTTCAGATTTTGATGGATATTTTAACCATGTGTGTTTCTGACCCCTCACCAACGTCTTTTAGTTTGTGTGGAATATATAGAAGCAAATGTGTGTGTGAATATATACTGTCAATATTGAGATTTTGTGCATATTTAAATCTTTCATTAGTCCAAATTTATGAATTTGTGTCTGTAGATTTGAATACCGTTATTTTGACTCAATGGTATCGAAGTTTACTTAATTAAGAAGTAAATGCAAACTGTTTAAAGTTATGCTCACTTGAAATTAATACACTAAGAAATTTTAAAGCAATCGGTTTCCTCACTTTTCAAAGCAAGGTCAAGTTATCACATTTTACAGTGTACAGATACAAATACAAAATTGATCAAATATGGACATGTGGTGACTTTTCATTGAATAATATATCTTCTAACCGTACCCCAAAACCAAACCAGATCTTTTATCCCAATCACTTTACTGTTTATAAATATTTATTATTATTAGACATATTTTCTGTCTTTTAGATTAATATTTATGGTTTATTTAGTCACCACAAAAAAAAAACTATAAAAACTCAAATATTTTGTGTCAGTTTAAATAAAATATATGTTAAGTGAAAATAAAACATTTATAACATTTATAAATCTGTCATTCGTCACAATTCATAAATTAGTGTCTGTAGATTTTAATAGCAGTACATACTTTGAAATATTAGTTTTTCCCAACATATATTCTGACTGTTTCAGTATTTCTGAATTATGGGAATGATAAAAAGAGATCCCTAAATTTTTTTTTCCCTATTCACCTGCAGTGTCTTGCCTTAATGGTGTCAAAAATACTGAATGTAATTAACACAGTGTTGGAATATAAAAGTATACCTAAAATTTCAATGCTAGGTCACATTACTCAAGATTATTTTGAGGAAAAAAATGTGTTGCTTTTATTAAACTAACTGACAGCACTAAAATATATCTTTTAGAGCAGAGATGCCCAAAGTAGGGCCCGTGGTCCAGGTAACCTTTGATTTGGCCCGGCATCCCGTCTAATTGAAAAAAGGAGAATATTGGTGGTTGGGACGAATGCCTGTGACAGAAATCATCAATTAGATTTTTAAATTCAACATAATCCTTTTTTTTCTTAGTTTTATTGCTAAACTAAAAAAAGGCAACTGAAATTAAATGATTCAATTAAATGTTGTAAATGAATTTATCTGACTTTTAAAATGTAAATACAGTCACATGACGTACAGTACATCTGACATCTTTAAACAAATCAATATAAAGGTGCAGCTTGACTAGTGTTTTCAGCATTGAACTCCATTGTGTTATGAATGGAATTATGTTTTTACAGTAATAAGTTCTTTATAAAATGTTAAAAATGATACTGCATTACATATTAAATGTGATTTAAAGCCACATTTTCTATTTTTTAAATCATTTTTATTTATTAACTAATAAATGAGGAAATTCCCCTTGCCAAATTTAGTGTAATACGGTTTGGTATATTTATATACAGCCCACAGCCCTCAATCAAGTTTGGTTTTTGGCCCTTTGTAGGAACAAAGTTTGGGCACTGCTGTTTTAGAAGAACAATTAATTTAAACGTTCAATAATAGACAGCAGGGGGCACTGCTCTTCAATAAACACCCTTTTACATGATTTATTCATTACAGCATATGCTTTAATCCAGGACGGCAGCATATGTGATTCAGTGATTTGCTTGTTATGATTCTGTGTGTGAGCAGTGACTCAGCGCTCAGCTCTTGCACACTGTTACCTCATCCCTCCATTCATGATAGATCAAGCTTGTCATTACTTTTTTTTTTTATTTTTTTTATTGAGTGTTCAGTTTCCAGTGATTGTGTCAGTTCATGTAGGCAGTGTGTTGTAAATGTAGCAGCTCCTGGTGGTTGAGGCATTGGTGTGGTAAACTAACATCGTCTCATGACAATTGAAGACCAAAAAAAACATCACTGTGCCCTTGAGCAAAGCATTTGATGACTGGGTTTGTGCCAGGAGGGACGTCACTGTGTATGTTGTTGGATACAACGTGCTCTCTTTGCTAAAAATAAAATTAAACACCTGAAAATAGAGTTAAATAAAGCAATTGATTTGTTTCATAGTTTGATATCTGTATTATGATTCTGGATAAATGGAATATAGTAATTACATGTATATTACTACAATACTACTACTAGTAATAGTACTAGTAATAGTTTTAATGACGATGATTCTAAAAAACAAAAATGTTAAGTAGGCCTAGTAAATAATTTATTGGTGCTGTGGTGACCTTTGATAAATCAGGGACAATGAATGAATGAATAAATTATTGGGATATGTAAGAGATAAAGTACATCCAGGCGGTTGTTTTTGCAGAACAAAGCCAGACAGGTGTATCAGCAGCGTGACTCGAAGTGGAGGGATTTTATAAGGGGCTTTAATTCTAAAAAAACAACAACTCCTGTATGTACCTTATTCTACTTATTACTGGACTACTTGCAACAAAACATAAAAATTAGACAGAAGTATACACTACCGGGGCATACACTAACCTATGTGTTATTCAGTCACAAGATGATGACAAACAGTCAATAGTAGCGTTGTTACAGACTAGCACATGGACATCCGCTTGTTAAGTGTGACGTCAAGCGAAGTGGCTTCCGGGTCCAATCACGATTGCAATATATATGTCCATGCCTAAGATCCGATGGCCAGAAAGTCATTCATTTTTTTATAAATTGTTAAAATTTTGGTATTTGTGATGCAGCAAGCCCAGAGATTGTCGTGTACACTATGACTTTATATAAAATGAACTTTAATGTGTGATATTAATTAAAAGTGATCATAAACAAATAATTTCTCAACTCAAATGAGTGGCGGCTTGGACCCGGAAAAAGTATTACATACGTCAACAACATGTCATCACTTAACATGCGGATACAAACTTGAAACCTGTGTTATTAGTTTCAGTGGTTATCTGGGAATAACATACCTTGGAATTTTGTGAATGACCAATCAGAAACAACTATTACAGACAGCTGAGTGCAATAAATGCCAATGTAATATAACATAATATAGTGTGATATAGTACAAATAGATTATTTTGGCTTTACTAGAAAAAAATAGAAAGTTTTTTTTTATTTAATGGTTTTTTGACTTTGTGATAGTGTTATGTATATGTGTCAAAATAATATAATATAATATAATATAATATAATATAATATAATATAATATAATATAATATAATATAATATAATATAATATAATATAATATAATTGCTGGGTAAAGATTGTTCGCAATGTTTATTTATTATGGATATATAAATACACACATGCATGCATATATTTAAGAAAATGTTTATTTATATTTAGATAAAAAATATGTTTATGATACAAATTATATGCAAATTGAAATATCTATGTAACAAAACTATTATGTATATTTTTGATTTTGTGTATGTGTGTGTATCACATATACATAATAAATATATGTAACTCACACACATATTTTATGTCAAAACAAACATTTAATTATGATAATTCTTTGCGAAAAATATGTGCCCAGCAATAAAAATAATATAATATAATATAATATAATATAATATAATATAATATAATATAATATAATATAATATAATATAATATAATGTAATATAATATAATATAATATAATATAATAAATTAGATGAGTATGCTGGGGTTTAGCTGACAGCTCTGCATTAAATAAATGACCTTGATTGAGAAGTGCTGAGTGCAGATGATGAAGACCTCCAGGCCCATGTTGGTTCTCTTCAGCTCAGTCTGAAGGGCTTGCAGTTTTCTGGCCTGATCCTCATAGCGACCCTGCAGGATCTGCAGCTCCACGTGTCTCTCTGCTTCTTCGCGCTCCTTCTCTTTCTTCTGCTCTTCTTCTGCCTTTTTCTTTTCCAGTCCTGGGGAGCCAGAGCGAGGCAGTATCTGCACGCTTGATCCTCGGACCGCCACTGTTGTCCTCTGTTGCCTCTGAAGGACTAAAGTGGGAAACATGAGAGAAAGAGCACTAAAAAATCAATTTCATTAAACTCGTCCCAGAACGGCCCTGTATGAATGGCAAGACGCCCCGGGGAGTCCTGTATGCTTAACAACCATGAAACTATTTACATAAAGCTTTACCGTAATTTCTATACCTAACTGGATTACTTGAATCCTCTATAAGTAAAGCAAAGGGACTATCAAAGTTTCATTATGATGCTAAAAAGAGGTATTTGAACCAAAGCTAATGGAGCAGCGCATAAACAAACCATAACAAATCTGAATGTTAATGTATAATATTGGAAAAAATCACAATACATCTTTTATAAAGTAAATAACACAGTAGATTAGTCACACAAAGAAAGATGAAGCCCCCATGAAAGTAGTAGAGGTATTGTTAAAGGGAACATATCATGAAAAGCATGACTTTTTCTGTGCTATAAAAGAGCTATAATCTGATCTACAATGTATCTGCCCAGAAAATGTGGAAATTTTCAACCAATTTATTTGTTTTGGTAAGTCTTTACTTTGTTTCTGGAAGCATTTGGAAAAAAGAACCACTCAGATTTCACCCCGCAGTGAAGATCCTATTATATTTAACCACCTCTTAATCTGCATATTTACACCAAAGCATCACTGCAGAAGATTTCTGTTTACTCTCTATAGATTAGCAGCTAAAGTATTATAATACTGGAAAACACATTACAAATGTCCTGCTGTTAAGAATATCTATTTAATCCATGTTTTTTCATTACTTGGCTTAAATTATATATTTTATAATCAGTAATAGCATAATGTTTATTTGCAAAGGCCACCAATTTATAACAGAGCACTAACAAGCTAGTCGATGAGTTAATAACAACTACAAAACGTCCTGGTTCAGTCTAGAATCCGTAACCTCTTCCTTTATACTCTGGTTTAAACATGTAAGGCTTTCGTCCACTATTAGTCATAACTAAGCCCACACAGAATCTGCTCGTGCAGAATTCCGCAGATTTTCCGCAGATTTTTTGCCCATCATTCATTTCGTTTATCTACTTGAGTAAACGTGTGTAATATCTAAATTTATTCCATTTTTAAGTTAATTACAGTAATATTATTGACTAATATGAAAATGTTCATCTGATTTATGTACAATGCAGTTCGTACAGTAATATTTTCTGTCTTTTAGTGGTTATATTATATGATAAACTTGCTTTGTTTACTAAACAAAGTGAATCTAATTGGATTTGCATTTTAAACAATAAATAATTATTTATTTTACATATTAAGGTTATTTTTGTTATGATACTCCAAAATAATTCCACAGAAATCCGCAGATTTTTACCAAAATTATCAGCAGAAATAGCAAAAAACGTCCGCAGATTCCGTCTGGCCCTGGTCATGACTCATGTCTGACATTTTTCTTGTGAGAGAGTTGCTTTTTTTTTTTTTTTTTCTGGACTGTACTAATAGTATGTAAAGATTCAACCCTTTTCTGGTTAGCAGCAGGTAATTTGCATTTAAAGAGAAACAGAAACACTGCATGGTATTTTGAGCTAAATATTCATCCACACATTCTTGGAACACCAGAAATGTGTTTTGTATCATAAAAACATGCACACTGTCCTCTTTAATTGTTTATACCAGTGACGACCTTGATCAACTGCTAAAAAACTAGCAAATACATAAAATAGTTTGCATTCATAAACATAAAATCATTTTATCATAAGCAAGCTAAATCAGTGCTCATGGTATGCTAATGATAATAGTGGCTAATGTTTTTTGTTGCTGATGCAGCTTTGTGTTAGCATTCATTCCACAGTGAATTCAATAAACACACTAAGCCAAATGAAACGACAGGATGATTTACGGCCATCATTACTGTAGAAACCAATCTTCTGAAAAAAAAAACTCGTCTACGCAGACCTGCTAATTGCTATGATGGAGTCATTGTTGTCCTTGGTGTTGAGTGTGCAGGAAATTTGTTCATTAATGACAGGGATCAGCTTTTTTCTATGCCTTTTACTGACAGTTTTGAATTTGAATTAACCTCTTAATTCATCTTCGTAAGCTATAATTGTCTCATATAGCACTAAAATGCATATGGACGTGGAGATACACTGTTCAAAACATACAAAAATTACATACATTAGACAAAAATTGTAAAAAAATAAAATAAGAGGTAACTTGACAATGTCTAAGGATTTACAATTTATAGTTTCAGAATTCTTTATTGGGCACCCTCTAGCGTTCAGTATGAATGAAACAGAAAAAACATTATAATGTATGCTTGAGGTTTCAAACTGCTGACTGTCCTGCAAAGTTTTCTATCTGCTTTGTCACATCTGACATTTATTCCAGTTGCTGTGATAAAAAGGCTCTAAATGCATGACCACCTGTATCTGCTCATACAGCCAGGACTCCTTCTGAAAATATACAGCGGGAAAAATACTTATTGAACACGTCATGTTTTTCCTGGAAATAATATTTTTAAAGGAGCTATTGACATGGAATTGAACCAGATTTTGGTAAAAACTGAAACAATACAAACATAAAAATAAAACAAAATAAAAAAAATCTGACAAATGAGTTATGTGTAGTAACAATAAAATGACACAAGGAGTGAGTACTTAACTACTGAAATGTATTTCATACTATAAAAGACTTTTTTTTCGATTGGAAGCTTAAAGGCACTTCTCATATGGAAAATTAAGTCACATGAATTGCTCGGGTGTGATTTTTTTTCAACAGAGTTTAAAAATCTTAATGGTTCTGTGGGTCTCATCTATCAAATCTGATATTTAAATTTTATTTTCTAACAGATTCAAGTCAGGTGACTGGCAGGGCCATTCTATAGCTTGATTTTCTTTCTCTGAAACCATTTGAAAGTTTTCTTTGACTGTGATTTGGATCAATGTCTTGCTAAAATGTCCACACTGGTTTCATCTTCATCATCCTAATAATGTAGATGTTGGACTGAAGCAGCGAATATTAATTTACAATGACAGAGAAGAGGGTTCCTGAAGAACTACTGAGAGATTTAAGCTGCTGTCTGAGCGTTCACTGCCTTTCTACACCTCCTTTTCTTCATGTTTTCAATACTTATAATATTTAACACTTATAATATTAATATTTCCTGAGTCATTTAATTTTATTAAACATAACTTCATTTGCACACTAACTACAATTGTTTCCTTTAAATATATGGATTTCTGGACATCTGGGGAAATTAAGTCAATGGCACCTTTAGAAATATGTTTTCTCTGAAAAATGCTCAATACTTATTTTCCACGCTGTATATGTTAATAACACAGACAACCAATGGCCTGTGTATATTTCCAATGAAAAAGTACAACTCAAATAACAAAACATTATTACCTAGTTCCCATTCTGAAGTGGCTACAGCTTTAAGGTGAACTAACCATTTCAAATCCTTCAAGACAATTTAAGCTCTAATTAGGTTCGTTGATGCCCTAAACCAGGAGTATTGCTTCATTTTGTTCAACATGTCAGCTGAACTTGGCCCCAGTGGCCAAACTGATTGCATCGTATATGAAATACCCTCTCATTCTAAGTGTGTGTGCGTAGAGAGAAGGAAAATAGAGAGGGTTACAGTGCCAGACGTAAGATGAGATTTATCCAATAGCATCATCTAATGGCAGCACTGTACTCTATAGAGCAGCGGGGGACGAAAGCAATATCTTAGCTTGATCTTTGTCTTGGTTGGTTTACCTGGAGATTGTGGTTTAGGAGACACTACAGCGAGTCTCTTAGGGGATGACTGGGATGAACGGGAGCCATCCGAACTCTTCTGGAATTCCTTACGGGATACTGCGGAGAAAGAAAGACAAGAGTTAATGGCAGTGTGTGGGAATTAACTGAATTAAAGGATATTCGCTCTAGGGACACATACAGTACAGCAATCTATGAAAGGGTTTGTAACAGTAAACCCTTCTCCAACTCTGCTGCTCGTATCGCTCTCCCCTTCCATGGATCATAATATAGTCTCAGTGGTCCGTGGATCGATTCCAATAAGAGGCAGCCAACCTCAAAATAACGCAGCTGCCAGGGTCTGGCTGACATGGACTTGAAGATATGTCATTCAGAGAGGCCGCAGGCATCTTTGGACCAACACTTACAGTACAGAATATAGTTCTAATATATATAAAAATTCATGCATCTCACAAATCCCAGGTCTGTCAGCTCATGGTGAATAGAAAAAAAAGAGTGTAGAATATATATATATATATATATATATATATATATATATATATATATATATATATATATGAATATCCCTTGATGTGCATGATGATATAAAATAGACTTTTTAAAAAATGATTTTTTATAAATAATTTGACATGCTGACATAATTTTAAATATATGAAAATGATAAGGATTATTTTAAACGTATTATTATTTGTAATAATAAATGGTAATAATCGTAATAATGGTTTGACACAAGAAGATAAGAAAAGAATATTTTTTGTATGGACTTAAATTTTTTAAATATTACAAAAAATGTGAAATTGTTATGGCGTCACGGTGGTGCAGTGGGTAGCACGATCACCTCACAGCAAGAAGGTCGCTGGTTTGAGCCTCGGCTGGGTCAGTTGGCATTTCTGTGAGAAGTTTGCATGTTCTCTCCGTGTTGGTGTGGGCTTCCTCTAGGTGCTCTGGTTTCCCCACAGTCCAAAGACATGTGCTATAGGTGAAATGGATAAGCTAAATTGTCCATAGTGTATGTGGGAATATTTGTGTATGGGTGTTTTCCAGTGATGGGTTGCAGCTGGAAGGGCATCTGCTGCGTAAAACATATGCTGTATAAGTTGGTGGTTCATTCCGCTGTGGCGACCCAAGATTAACAAAAGGACTTAGCCGAAAAAAAATTATGAAACTGTTATTTTTAATTTTGTTAGTGTTAGTCTGTGTTGTGTTTTCACCAGTCAACACAATGAAATGTCTGTGAAATGAAATTTATGGTTAATCTTAATTCATTCTTTTTTTATAACTAATTAATTTAATTAATGTGTTCAATCAACAGCCCTACAATAAATTATTAAGTGTTATAAATTATTCAAGGGCTTATGGATATATGCATATTCCTTGAAAACTGAACGATCTTTTAATGTAGATTGATCTGGCTGGCTTATTTATTTTATTTTTACAAATATATATTTTGTTATGACTAAAATAAATCCTTACTGAAACGTACTTGTATATTTTGTAACCAATAATATTTGACAGTTTTTGTAGTAACAGTCAAACAGCTGGATTTGACTCTCAAGAAATGACTGAAAATAGTAATGCATTTCTTGTTCCAAATCTCTAAACAGAAGGGGGTGCGTATGTTTTTGGGGTTGCTGCTTTTGGCTTACTTTCACCGAACAGAGTGTGTGCGTGCACACATCACATTGCAACGGGATCCCAGGGCACCTAATTACTGGCTGCTCATTTCGACATGGAGCAGACAGCCATAGACACCCCTCTAGAATCCCAATGGACTCCCTCCTCCCATGGACCCCATTTCTATCCTGCACCCCATGCTGAGAAAGCACCTACGGCTTCATAGATACCGGTGCATTATGGGTGGGTGCATGAGAGTTTGACTCTAGTGTGGTGGTCTAGTATACAAGTAAAAAAACTATGCTTTGGATATGTTCCTTTCCATGTGAACAATATGACAGCTGCACAAGGTCTCTGATCTGTTTTAACAGCAGGGTCTCATGAATGTAGTCACCGCTTACTACCTAGACAGCATGCTAACCCTAAATCGGTTCGCCATGATGGGCCAGATGCCCTGGCAGCCTTTTTGTCCCTCCAGGGTGCTGGAGATTTTGTCAGGATGACAAAGAGGGAAGCAGCAGGCAGGGCTTTATGCTTTAGGATCTGTGGTTAAGAACTGGAAAATGTGCACTGAAAATGGGACAGAACTGATAACAACATTTGAGACAGAGGGGGACAGGTTTAAAAAAAGAGGAGAATGAAATGGGATGAATAGGAACAGGGATTCATAATAGCCTCATTATGCTTTTGGTAGAAGGAAAATGATTGGTCAAAAGGACACAAGCAAGCTCTTATTGGACTGGCATTTCTGTATGGTCAGCATTAGTTATTTTAATCAGATGATTGAATCACAGTGATTGGCCTAATTGAGCTGACATAAAAAGTGATATTAAGCAAGTGGCAAAGGTATGACATTCAGTGGGTATAAATGTTATTAGGTATTTAGTATATGGATGCCACAATACTCAAATTAATATTGAATCATTTGAAACAATCTCTACGGTTCAATATGCATAAGTAAATAGCATTTTTTTTGTAAGTTTTCTTTTGCATTATTTCCATACCCTTTATTACCTTCTGAACTGGCTATGAGCATGTTTTATTGCCTGTCCATGTGCAAAGTTTATTTGCTGAATTCAGTCAGTGGTCGGCTATTGGCCTTTGTCATGCCGTTGGTCAGCGTCAGTCAGGCTAGTTGGTTTGGTGTGTTCCACATGTTACATCTCGTCGGGTTTACATTGGATCGATTTAGCCTGATTTAGCCTGTAGAATTAGCATTGGCTGTTGGCTGAAGAGAGCGCTCTGATTCAAAACAATTCTAGCCTGATTTAGCCTGTAGAATTAGCATTGGCTGTTGGCTGAAGAGAGCGCTCTGATTCAAAACAATTCTAGTTAAGTAAGAACACAAAGAAGCCGACTGTAACTTTGCTATATTTCTCAAATATTTACAAACTATATGGATTATTAGATTATCACATATTCCCACCATGGTAAGTGACAATTACCTAGATAAAGGTACCAAACATTTTGTTTACTCTGTGCTTCTGGTTTCCCTGTGTGGTATGAGAAAACAGATTACTGCCCCCCATGGGTGTGGAAAGACACATCCTTTCATCCAGGCACAAAATGCAAACTCTTGTTTCAGCCGGCTGCTATCCATTTGGTGTGTTCAGGCGCACCTTTTTGGCGAAACAAGCCCTTATTATACTAATATTATTATCATTATTATCATAAGCCCTTATAATAATTCTGTTATAATCAGAAACAAATATTCTTATTTTCTTAGTTACAACTACAATTATCTTTAAATATTAGTAAAAGCACGTTTAAACAAGTGCACACTTCAGGGGAAATACAGAATTGCTGGAACTGCAGACTTTTTCCTTGTGCTGGGCTAAAGATGAATGAATACGGATGGCCTACTTGCTGAACACAGAGAAAGGGTGTTTCTGCTTCAAGTACAGTGTGCGTTTCAGTCTTGACTAAACATAGGCTGCAGCATCGCCCCGACTGGACCATCCCATTATTCACACACATGGAGGAGATTAATGTCTTTGTTGAGGACACAGGCAGGGAGGTAGTGCTGTTTACTTATTCCTGACAAGTACACGCTCCGCTTTGTGTTGGTGCGTCAGTGAAAGTCTATCTTCAAACTGAAGCTAGTGTCTGAGGATTCATTGTGACATCTGACAGGTCACATCTGACACTGGAGGAAGCATGTAACCTCTGTATTTCAGTAAGCTAACTTAACTCGAAAAATGAAACTTGTGGTGCATACCTATTTAAGTACCAACTAGTGTAAACAGTCCTACACTACATAGAACTGTAGCTTTATTTTGCAAAATAATTAAGACATGTTCAAGTAGTGTGGTCTATTTCTAGTGTGTACTTGGTGAAGCTCATGGTGTGATTGAAGATCAATACAGCTGTACTGCATTCTAATAGAATTAGTGTTGTTCAGAGCATGACTGGAATGCTCCTATATGAATGTCATACTCATTGTAGTGCATTCAATAGAAATATTCCTTTTGTCGTGCACACTACTGGAGTTAAAGTGCATACTTTTCTAGACCAACTTGTAATATGCTCATGAAAAACTTTCATGAAAAATCTATTTAAGGTTCATTTTCATACTAAAGTGCATATTTGCTAGAAGCATTCAATTTAAATCAACCCAGGCTTATTCTGGAAACGTAGTCCCGCGGACGTTTCTGGAGACCGAAAAATACGTCCTGGGAGGTACGCATTTGTGCAGTTTTTCTTTTCGTGAATCTGTTAATCCGTTTGCGCATGCGCTTTTCTCGTGTAAAGATGCCGGAGGTCGTTGTCGAGTAACCGTCTGTCCGACTGACCGAATGATTCGGCCGACCCACCTTCATCCTCCTCCTTCCCTAAACCCAACTGGTTTCACCGATTGACCAGCCGGCCCGCCTGCTTCCCTAAACCCAAGCGACGATTTACAAAAGCCATTCAGAAAAAGAAAAGCCCTCGGATGATTTTGACCACATTTTTGGATTTCACCACATTCTCACCCTGTTATGAACTTGTCATGCCTTCAGCTCCCCCCCGGGTCTCCATCCTGCTGATGTACATGACGAGCTAACTGGACAAACTGGTTGTGGCGGGAAAGCCCTCCACATTGAGGTGAGCTGTCAGCCGGCCAGCGCAAAGAGGAGCGGCGTCACACCGCCTGTAGCATTCGCTTAAAATGATGAAATGCAGCCATATGTACCTCCGGCCATGTAAGTAGCAGCCTCCAGAAACGTCCGCGGGACTACGTTTTCAAAATGAGCTTGGGTGGATTTAAATGCTTAGGGTATTGTGCGGCTCTTAAAGTGCATATTTGTTTACACATAGTGCTGTACTACTATATATCACTATAGTTGTATCGTTTTAGTAAGTACATACTTGTAGTACAAATTCATAGCATGCGCATTCTTACTGAAATGCATGCTAAGCACATAGACTTACAGTATACACTTAAGAACAAAGGTTTTGTAGTTACTAGATAAAGTGCACATATATGGAAGAGCAGCACTCTAGCTATAGTGTATGTATCATTCTGTTTGGAGAATGCTATGTTTTCTTTGTATGTCATGCAGAATGCCAAGCGCCTACTTTCCATGTATAATCATTGTTGTGTAACATACTGGCTGTAAATATGAAGGTCTGTGCCACTTACACACGGGTGAACTTCGAGGAGGAGGTAGCAGGGAGCGGCGTACGGGCGCAGGAGTGTTTGGAGGTTGAGGGGTGCTGCGACAGGGTGCTCTGGATCCATCCCCAGGTGGTGATGTGGTGACACGGTGAAGCGGTGGCTCATCATTTACACTGTTGGGACCTGAAAAATCAACAAAGTATGCAGTCTGTAACACCGCATGTCAACAACAACATACATTATTTACCCTAATGTATGTAAATTATGTGCATCAGGGAGCTGTTATTAGGGTTTTGAAATGACATTCAAATGCTCACTCACTTTTTACTTTCACTTTTAATTTTACAAATCAAACATGCTGGGTGCTGCAAACTCCACACAACTCCAACTCGAACCAGAGACCTGCTAGCTGTGAGGAAGTGCTAACCAATGAGCCATCAGGGCCCCCTTTTTGTGTTTAAATGAAGTTCAATGTTAAGACCAAGGCTAGTAAAATATCTCCTATAAACGACATTCTAAAATTAAAATAGCAATTAAACTTGAACACTTAAGTCTCGCCACACAAATGTTTTTTTTTTCCTATTAAAAAATGTGTAACTATGAATGCTGATGCTTTGATTGGTAAATGCGTGAATGCAGAATAAGCGACTTTAAAGCAATACTTATATAGGCAAGGCAAGGCAAGTTTATTTATTTCATACACAGTGGTAATTTAAAGTGCTTTACATAAACAAGAATAAAAGAGACAAGTGTAAGAAAATGAAAAGAAATAATACAAATAAAAATTATAAAAATAAGAATAAAAATTAGATAAAACAGATAAAAATGTGTTAAAATGTTAGAAGATAATGAAAAAGAAGAAAAAAAAACAATAGTGCGATCTGTCGGACGCAGCACAGTGCTCATTCAGTAAAGGCACAGCTAAACAGATGTGTTTTCAGTCTTGATTTGAATGTGCCTAATGTTGGAGCACATCTGATCATTTCTGGAAGCTGATTCCAACAGCGAGGAGCATAGTGGCTGAAAGTTCATTCACCCTGCTTTGACTGAACTCTTGGAACTTCTAGTTTATATGATCCTAAAGATCTGAGTGATCTGTTAGGTTTGTATTCAATCAGCATATCTGTAATGTATTGAGGTCCTAGGCCATTTAGTGATTTATAGACCAGTAATAATACTTTAAACTCTATTCTGAATGTAACTGGGAGCCAGTGTAGAGACCTGAGGACAGGTGTGATGTGCTCTGATTTCCTGGTTCTAGTCAGAATCCTGGCCGCAGCGTTCTGGATGAGCTGTAACTGTCTGACTGTCTTTTATATACCATGAGAAGATCTGCTTTATTTCCCTCAGTAAAGGTTGTGATCCAGGGATGGGGTTGCCATTGATAAAAATGACACAAAGACTTCACTATGAACACCTCTAACCCTCTAGGCCCAATGCACTCTATCCCTTTTCCCCTAACTTGCCAAAATGAGACATGGCTACAGTTTGAATATCTAAGAATGTCTTTTTTTTGGCTATGCAATTGAACTGAATGATATTCACTGAGCATCTGACTAGTCTAGATTCTAAATACTATGGGTCATGGTCTAGGCCTCTGCTTTACTACAAATGCTTAATCAGACTGAGCTCATCTCACTCTGCTTCTGTCTGAGCACATTATTCATTATCTGTGGCAGACAAGAATTCATCTACCTGATCATTAACCTCACAACTGAACCCAGTCCAACAGTTCAGCCCACTCTAGACTTAATCAATAAGCACAGCCCAGCTCGATATGACCGAATGCTGCAATAAAATGGAAATTGCTCGCCATGTAAAAGAAAAAATCTCATCTATTCAGTGAGCTGTGAGAGATTTCACAAATCACTTATAGGTACTTTTACATAAGTCCTTTGAAAGACACTTTCTTCTCAACTTAACTTACAGTAGTTTGAGACTGTAAGTCTTAGTAAGGCAACACCATTCCCTGTCACCATGTTATCGCTCTGATTTATGAAGTGCTGAGAGAGGATTTCAGCCGACAGAAATGCTGACAGTACACTGTCATAAGTGCTTTTAAATACCATATTTTATAACACTAGAGGCAGCAGCCGACAACTGACATTAATTCAGAGCATTTTGCCTGCATGAAATATATAGCCTTTCAATGGCCATTGCACCCAACGGAATCACTTACTTTCATCTATACTGCAGTAAAATGCAGTTTAAGGCTAATTTGATATGGGTAAAGATCTGGAGGAAAGTTTTGGCTCCAAAAATGGAGCTTCAGAAACAGCAGGAAACGCCACACAGCCCTCCAGCTCTCACAGCAGGGGATGTTAAGGTGCGGAGCCACAGCGTCTGATTGGCTGCTTGGAAATAAAACTCACTGCTCATTGGTGGATTTTCCCCCAAATCTCTGTGAGAACCAGTTAACTGCTTGCATTGTGTGGAAGTGGGTTAGTAGCACAGAGACTCAATCCTTAAGATTTTTCCCAGTTTCATCAGCACTCCGGATTTACATAATCACCCAAATGATGGGAGCTATGCACTCGTGTGGGTTGGATCTCATGCTGTGCACCTAAAATATCTACTGTTATAAGTTTGTAGAAAGCGTTCAGGATTACTTTTCATGAACGAGATGCAAAATGTGATTAAAAAATCCATAAAGAAAACAATATAAACTTTCATATTGTATTTAAAATTAATATATATTAACATGTAAAGTGTACATTTTTATTTTTAACTAAATTTAATTGATATAGTCGAACATACACACAAAAAATTAATTACTTATATACGAAATAATATAACAGGCATGGAAGATATGATTAATTATTTATTATTTAACAATTTCAGTTTACAACAGGTAATTTAAAACTTAACTTTTCGTTGACTTCTATGAATGTTATTGAAATAATATTTAATGAAATTTCTGTTGCATAAAAAAGTGGCAGAGCAATGTAGTGACAGCATTACAGGATTTAAATTCTGATCTATGATGCAAATACATTTACAGTATAGCAGCTGCTGTCTCTAGTTGACTAAATTGTTCTATTTACACACACACAGCAGTCTTTTTGCACCCAATACCTGAAGGTTTCTAAAACACTGTTTGAGTTAATGACTAATTTGATTTTAATTGAGGAAACTCTGGAATAAATTATATTGAAATAGTTTAGAAAAAAAACACCTACAATATTGGCCAGTAAACACTAGCAAACAAGAAATCGACTAAGATCACATTAATCTTCTTCAAAAAGAAAAATGAGCTCGATACATTAAAACACCACACACACACAACCACAGAGTTATAAAAACACAGAGAAGCAATTCTCACATCCTGAATTTAAAATGCTGCTGACATTTTGATCATAATGAAGACAAATTCTCAGCTTAACTTGAGTACAAAAAATATACAATTCGGTTTGAGCTGAATAATGTATCTTACAGTGCAGCAGAGAGAAATGCAAAAAAGAGAGACTAATTTAATGTGGTGCTGGGGTGGATCAAATTCAGCTTGTGAAGCAGCCAGAACCAAACAATCAGCACTTTTTGTTCTTCTAACAGAGACATATGTATTGTGAAAGGACAAAATCAAGGATAGATGAGCAGAAATGGAAGAAAGCATTGTATCAGTACGAAAGAGAGGATATGAACATAGCCATAGCTTGACATTTGAGCTGCAATAAAATTAAAAATGCAACACTTTGAGTATTTATATTTTTCATTTGTGTTTATTTCCTTTGTACACCTAACAATTGGACTTTTAAGCTTGTATGCATAGTATAGACTGTTTAATGAATTTGTTTTGCAATCTCAGGACAGGGTTGTGAAATTACTCCATAATCTGTTATTATTAAGTTATCCCAGCCTGATCTCACGAGAAAATATAACTATTTAACAATTTGTGAGATTAGTGGCTAATTCAGTCGTACGAAAATGTAAGATTTTTAAAAGGAGGTGTGACATCCAACCCCATCCCTACACCCAACCATCATTGGGGGATAAGCAAATCATATTAAATTGTATGAGGTTTTACGATTTCATACAAATTAGCCACTAATTCATAAAGTTATGAATTATCATCAGTTAACGTTGATTCTACTTGGTTTATTAAAGTGATAACTAGGACATTCAATAACTTTTGTTTTCATTAAAAGTCATGCACATACCTCTAAAGTGTCCAGTCTGGTTATTGAACAGGTCAGGGTTGTAAAATTACACAAAAAATCTATTATTCAAGAATTCACACTTAGCTGATGATTTATTATAAAGCTTGTTTGGGATGATGTCCCGGGAGAGAGCCCTGAGCTCAAATGATCCTCGAGTCCAGGTCTCCCTCACATTTGCAGGGTGAGAGGGGAGTTTGAGCTCAGGTAGATTTTGAGAACTCCCCTACTGTAGTAACTAATGAACAGATAGTGATTGTTCTCATGAGATAACTACTTACTAGGAGCATGTCCATGTCCAATTTGGATTAGTCAATTAACTTAAGTTGCATGTTTTTGGACGGTGGGAGGAAACCAGGGAACCCGGGGGAAACCCACGTGAGCATGGGAAGAACGTGTAAACTCCACACAGAAACGTCGGCTGGCTCGGTAAGGACTAGAACCAGTGACGTTCTTGCTGTGAGGCAACAGTGCTAACCACTGGCCCACCGTGCCGACCATCTAGTAAAGGAGGAGAAGTAGGAGTGGAAGGGGGTATTCTTCGTAACGACGATGGCTATTACATGGAACTTAGGGTATTTATAGTGGCTTAGGAATCGTCTGATTGGTGAACCATAAACTGGATATTGCGGGGCCAGATGCAAGCAATTATAAGCATGTGATTCTCTCGACATTAGTTTATAAATAAACTTCAATAATTGTTATCCATATTTTTATTTATTTAATTAGGGCATTTAATAACTTTTGTTTTCATTCGCATTTTAAATATTCATTATGAGCTTACAGGACGAGCTATAAAATAGATGCATTTAGGCCTATTTCATCAGGTGGAAACAGATAAACAGTGACTTTGTCATTTTACCTGTTCATCAGCACACAAAGCAGATTAATGTTTAATCGTTTTTGTTGAAATTAAAACACTAAAAAATACTGCTGTGCTTTAAATATAAAAAATAGGCTAAATTGTGAACAAAACACATCAGAAATAGTTTCGGTTAACCTTCATGATAAAAAAAAGTATGTTTACCA